TTCGGAACCCCAAAGAAAATGTCTCCCTCTTACATGCACCCCCTCCCTGATCAATCACGCATTCAGGCGTAAACAATAACAGAGATGAAATTGTGCTGAGTTTGTGGCTCTTGACGCATTGACGTACAAGACTGTTGAAAGTACAGGCGCTTGGAACGTCTCAATAAAAATAAATATTCACACAATTTTTCACATGATCGACCGCCTGTGTGCAAAATAGGTAAACGTATGTGAAACATATACGGTTAGTACTTATTGTGACATATCCGTGACTAACTGACTGTTCTGACACCACTAAATTGGTAAAATGTTCCGTGCACCTTGAGAAATGCTGAGAAATTACGAGGTTATCATCGTAGAACTCCCGAACACCGTACGTCACAAAGCTATATGTAAACAAACACGCGTGTTGCGAGGTGCCTGCCTCTCATCCATTTCGAGGCCCGCTAAGCCAAGCATAAAGCGCGCGGGCAAGACGTCACACACACAGCTACGTTCATTGGCTAAAACAATCGAGTAGCGCGGTTAGGGATTTTCGGAATTATTTAATGTTTTTATGTTCAATGAATGACGCACTCGTTCACTTCCGACACCGAGTGAAAATGCCGAAAATGTTCCACTTTGATGCGATTCCATCAACGAAGAAGGGGAGCGGCTTATTCTGATTACAGAGATGCGAAAATGCAATAAAAGGACGTAGCGCAGTGCGCTAAACAGCGTGTTATTTTCGTATTTGTGGCAAACTCTATCGTAGGAAACCGTACTAACATAGCAAAATGCCCTAGTTCCTGAGATCGGCGATTTGGTGGTCCAATGGGTCCCCATATTTAAAAATATCAAAGACTGGTGCGGCGTAGCCTGTGATTGGAAGACACAAAGTGTCAATCCTCGGCGAGCCTCGTCATCATGGCCGCATCACGTCTAGCATACTAGGGTTGGACGGGTTGGTGCGTGTACTCAACGAGTGAGCAACTATCTATATACGTAGCACGCCTTTAATGGCCGCATTTATTCAACGACTGAACATCCAACCATCTATCTCGTTAGCGATATCTATCTGCGAGCCGTGTTTGATGGCTGCATTTATTCAACAACTGAACATCCAACCATTTATCTATTTAGCGACATCTTTCTAGCGCGCCCGTATTTGATGGGAGCATTTATTTAACGACAACATCTGTACTTCCATCTCTTTAGCGACCTGTTTCTAGCCCGTCCGTATTTAATGGGGGCATTTACTCAGCAAATGAACATCTATACATCTATCTATATAGCGATATCTATCTGCGAGCCATGTTTGATGTGGCCACCACGAGCAAACGCTGCCGGCGCGTGATTGAAGCCTGCGTTTCGCTCTCGAGGGAGAGGGAAGGGAGGGGGATGCGAGGGAAAAAGGAGGGGAGTTGTAATTTCTTCCAGATGTGGCGGGATGAGGCCATGGCGACAACAACGACGCGCAAAGGATGCGGAAGCTATAGAAGTTGACAAAGATGTGCAGGATGCGGAATATGGCAGAGAAGCGGAGGACGGGCGGGTTACGGAAGGTATGAGCCTCACCAGGGAAGCGCACCTGAGACATACGCTACCTGGCTACCTGGACACCACGCACCTGAGACGTACGCTACCTGGCTGTCTGGTTACCTGTAGACAGCACACCTGGACGCTACCTATATGCGACCTAGAACCTTGACACAACACACGACGCACTCGGTGTGTCACATCGTCGTGATCGTCGCCGCTGCTGCTGCTGCTGCTGCTGCTGCTGCTGCTGCTGCTGCTGCTGCTGCTGCTGCGTTTCTGCATGCGCATTAAAATTGTATGCGGCCGTGCACCTCACAAACGCCCCTAATGGCTTTCCCTTGTCTTCCATTAGTCTCGTTCGCGAGACGTGGCGGCAGACGCTTGCCGCGTCCAGCTGCTGCAGCCTCTCCGCGCACACAGAGCTTCATCTCATGACGTCAGCCTGCTGGCTTCATCTCATGACGTCAGCCTGCTGGCTTCATCTCATGACGTCAGCATGCTGGCTTCATCTCATCACGTCAGCATGTTGGCTTCATCCCATGACGTCAGCCTGCTGGCTTCATCTTGCAGCTTCATTGCATGACTTCGTGGCTCGTAGTTTTCATCTCAAATACTCATCTCATAACATAAGCTTGGGGCGCATCATTATAATCATCATCATCATCATCATCATCATCATCATCATCATCATCATCATCAGGTGCGCTGTCTCCAGGTAGCCTCATCTACCAACGTCAGCTTAGTTGCGTTGATTCAGCTTGTGGATTGACTTCAAGGTTTCATCACATACCGTTAGCGCATAGTTTAATCACATGGAAGCATCCATCCAGAGAGACATGATACAAGATTGCGTGGCACAGCTTTGCTGTTGATCCTGAGCGCTGCCCCGGATGAGGCGCGCAGTTCTGCGGGATATGCGCACGCGACCGCGGGG